GGAGGAGGAGGAGGAGGAGGAGGGAGGAGGAGGAGGAGGAGGAGAGGGAGAGGGAGAGGGAGAGGAGGGAAGGATGCAAGGGATCTTGTGCTGAATGAAACAGAGAAAACTTTACTTTGACACAGGGGGGAGGAAGGAGAAGCACAAGATTACAAAACAACAAGAGTCGGCAAGGGGAGCGCGGGAGCATCGGAGGAGAGGTCGGTATTACCGCCCGCTGCCATCGCCTCCTACTTGTTTCATCACCAGCCGCGGGCCCTCGGCCCTCATGGTCTGGATCCTGTTCTCGATCTTTCTGTAGAGCGCCTTCTTCAGGTTGTGCCGCCTCGAGCTGTCGGACGAGGAGGAGGAGGAGGAGGCGGCGTCCTGCGCCTCCTTCCTCTTGCTCACCATCCCCTTGCTCACCAGCCTGTCGTGTACCTTCCTCTTCACGTAGTCTCTCAGCATGCTCGAGGTGGCCGACTTCTTCCCTTTGGATGCCGAGGGCGGACTAGCGAGGTTGGGGATGCTGTCAAGGGTAGGGGACACGTCCTTCGACTGGGAGATGAACTTGTGCAGCAATCGCACGTCGTCAGCTGTCTCCATCGCCATCAGCCCATCCATCAGCAGCTGCGTGTCCCTGTCCTTGATCCACTCCAGCTCGTTCTCATGCGTCTGCCAGCACAGCAGTCAGCAAGCAAGCAGCGGCGATGCTCACATACCTCAGAAACGCACAGCCGCACGTCGTCGCCGTTGTGGCGAAATGCATGCCTCAGGGTTCCCTCGCCGATCTCGTCCGTGGATCTTCACAGACAATCACAACGGGTTGAGCGCAACATGTGCAAAGATGGGAAAGATCTGCAACTCCGCTACTGCTTGCTGCCTTGAAACTCGCCTCCACAAATGTCCACCAATTTCTATACCAGCTCAAACTGTATCCTGATTCATCTCTACTCTGGATCCCACTTTGCTTTTGCTGCAGACATATCGAAACATATCCTTGACAGCAGAAGAACACGTTCTACATGCTGATAGGAGATGGTCTTGCCGCGCTATCTCAGCGCACAATCACCGCAGCCTCTGCACGCTTCCACATTGCATCTAGCAGCAAGAGGTACAGACACCAACATCACACCTCCAAGTATCATCCTGTATGCACACCATGGTCCATGATAGAATCCTTCCATGCATAATCACACATGGATCCCAACGGCGCCCCTTCCTACCCACTACCTTCCAGCTTCATCGGTACCGAATCGTTTCCAACAAACCAACATCTCCCCTCCTGGAGGAATCTCTAGCTCGCATATCAATCTCTCAGAGCTCATGCAGGCACTTCTACATAGTCCTCCTTCCTCGCTTCTCTCACCTTAGTGGACATCTCGCCGCTCCCCCCGTCGCTCCTTCCTGGCATAGTCGCACGACCACCATGGTGTCCAGTCTTGCTGCAGGTCCTCCCGGCTCCTACCCCACCCTCCGCACCCTTCACAAGCTCACATTACCCCCACCTACTATATCGCCATCAAATACCCCACATGTTTTCATGACCCTGAGGACCCCGATCGTCTATCACCCCTACTGTGTTTGTACCCACAAGCCACCTCACCCCACCCTCCTCAGTCCTTCAACCACCCCCTCAGTCCCCACAACAAACCCCACCCACCGTTGGAATTCACCCAGTTGGATTGTACAGTACCCTACCCCCTCAGCCCGCACCGGTCGATCGTGAACACGTGAAGGAGTGGACTTAAGGGGGTAGGGGTAGTAGCCTAGGGTGTGACGGGGGTCATCATCAGCCTGAGTTGAGGTGGTGAAATTTTTTTGGAAGTTCAATGTAAAAATTGAAACCATAATTCCGAAGTGCGATATTGCATCTTTGATCAGGGGTACTTATCCAACAAGTTGAGCTTAAAAGGTAGGGTAGGGTGATAAACCTGATTCGAAATTTGTACAGAAAAGGCAGCTAAATCCCAAGGTAGTCGACAAATTGCTGCCTTCGCATTATGCCATGCACGTCAGTTGAAGCTATGCGAGAAACAGGGAAAAATGCAGTCAGTCAGTCAGTCAGTCAGTCAGTCAGTCAGTCAGTCAGTCAGTCAGTCAGTCAGTCAGTCAGTCAGTCAGTCAGTCAGTCAGTCAGTCAGTCAGTCAGTCAGTCAGTCAGTCAGTCAGTCAGTCAGTCAGTCAGTCAGTCAGTCAGTCAGTCAGTCAGTCAGTCAGTCAGTCAGTCAGTCAGTCAGTCAGTCAGTCAGTCAGAAAGGAAGCAAGCAAGGAAGCAAGCCAGGAAGGCAGGAAGGAAGGCAGTCAAATGGGCGTTTGGAAAAGCCCATCAAGGCATGGCCGGGTAGAGCTAGCTTGTCGATGCTGTGTGCACATGTAGTTGTTCTTGTTGTCACGAGCATCCGTTGAGATCAGGATTGTCTTGGAGCTGTTATGACGATGTATCGAGGCAAAACCCCACGTCCCGACGAGATGGTAGTTTACTTGTTCTCTTGATCCAACATGGTTGATCAGAACTCTGCATGACAGGAGAGCGAGGGGCTCGACCGGACGGAGTTGGAAAGCATCAAACGAGTGAGCAGGCTGGAGGACATGCAGAGGTGAGGGTAATGGCTGGCAGGTGTTTGAGCGCCTCGATCGCAAGAACGACGGGAAGATCGACAAGCAGGAGATCGCGAAGCAGTTTGAAGTGCTTGGTTGCGATACCTGCCGCACGGTGAGCTTGAGAGCTGACAGGTGGTTGTAGGATACAAACCCAAGAAGTCAACAGACTACGGTACATCTGAAGTCGAAGACATGATATGGGAGGTCGGGACACTCTAGATGTCAGAATGCTCAGCTGAGTAGTTGCCAGGTGGACGATGACTGCGACGGGATGATCGACTGGGAGAACTTTGTGCGGCTCTACGTGCGATGTCGACGTGACAAGACCGGGCAAGAGCGGCAGCATGTGGAGGCAGCGAGCTGACAGAGCGCGAGCAGATGCGAGCCGAAGCGCCTGTTCAACCTCATTGAATTTATGATCAACGACAAGGTCGACTTGTCCTGCTCCTCTAGCTCTGACATGTCACGGGTTCGGTCGGCAGGACGGAGGAGGCACAATCAACGAGGACGAGATCATGGAGTACTCGTGCTAGTTGCTCGCTCGTGCTTTCTGACTTGCAAGCAGAGTCTTGTACCATCGATACGGGAAGGAAGCCATGACAAGGATGACAGAGGAGGTGTTATGCGGCGCTCCCCGGCAAGTTGTGACCTGAGCTCTATGGCCAGGTGTTCAAGCATGACAGAGATGGCGACAAGGAGCTTGATTTCCAGGTGCTTGTGGATGTTCATGGCGTTGTGAGGTGAAATGGGCTGAACTCTTGCTTGCAAGGATTTCTTGAAGATTGTGAATGCGGGAATGAACAACCAGGTAAGGGACTTGCTGCTTGTGCATGATTTGATCGCTGCTGCAGCCTGGTGAGAAAGAAGTCAAGACGACAGATAACGTCAGGAGGAAGGGAGGAGGAAGAGGAGGCCATACAAGATGAAGGAAGGAGATGAAAGGAAGGGGAAGATCGAAGGCATGTGAGATTGAAGGTGTGATTGTAAGTAGTTGAAGGAACGCCGTAGCTGGCGGACTTGATGTTATGTCGGTTGTATGAAAATGAAGCTCAGAAGTTGATACTTGTTCCCCTCACAACCTCGTGAGATGGATTCTGTGTGATGCTGATTGTGCCGGTCGTGCTACATGAGCAGAGTTTATCAACAACGCTCTTGGATCGGACAAGCTACAGGGCAGGAGGACGACGGTGAAGGAGAGGGACGGCTGGTTTAGACAGTGATGCTCCTCCATATCTCGTTGGCTGAGGTGGAAACAAGTCACATCCTCCTCCTCCTCCGTCCCCCTCCCTCATCCCCTCTCCTTCACTACTCCACTCCACTCTTCCATTCTCTGTCTCCTTCGTCTTCCCTTTCCTCCTTGTACATGTTCGCGTGTTCCCAGCGCATCCTCAACCACCGCCACCTCTTCCTTGCCCTTCTCCTCGTCCTCGTCCTCGTCCTCGTCCTCGTCCTCCAACCGACTCCTCCTCTCACCTCCGATGCAAGATCCAACAAATCCCGCCATGCCTGCTCCCACTGGCCTATGTTGATCGTCAGTCTCCTCAGCCTCTCATGCTGTATGAGCCCACCCAATGGCGTCCCGCCCCCAGTCCGTCACGTTGAAGAGAGCGACAGGCACGTTCGTCATCTCCACCATCAGCTGCGCCTGCACCAAGGCAAATCAACTCCTCCCACTGCTTCCTCCTCCTTCTATCCCTTTTCCTCTTCCCACCCATCCTGCTCCTGCTCCTGCTCCTGCTCCTGCTCCTGCTCCTTCTCCTGCTCCTGCTCCTTCTCCTGCACCTGCACCTGCACCTGCACCTGCACCTGCACCTGCACCTGCACCTGCACCTGCACCTGCACCTGCTCCTGCTTTCCCTTCGCCTCTTCCTGAGCGATTTCCTTGACTCCTCATTCTCTTCCTCTCTAGACAAGAACCACACGCAACTCAACCTGCAGCTTGCGACGAGAGGCAAGGAGCGACGCCCAGCGCTTGGCGTCAGGCTAGCAAGAGGATGTGAGCGAGTCAAGGAGCCCAGCGGCACCGTAGAACTGACTTGAGCTCCGTCCTTCTGCGCTGCTTCTCGTGCCTTCTTGATAGCCTGCGGGGTCGCGGGGTCAGCTGAAGGAGAGCTGGAGGGACGAGAGGACGAGCCTGTATGGTCTTGTTGAGGGCGATGAGGATGAGCGCTATGCTCAACACGCACTTGATGCACCACACCTGATAGCGAAGCTTCTTGATCTAGCAGGGAGCAGGTCGAGGAGGGTTACAGATTGGCAGCACAAGGGTCATGCTACCTTGTCCGTCTTGTAAGGAAGCAGCTCGAAGATTGACAACAACTCTATCATGTCCTGTCATGCAGCCATCACGAGCGTCCCAGTGATCCCTTCCTCCCGACCAGAAAATAATACATCCCGTTAGACGCGTGCATACACAGCTTCATCGTCCTTGGGATCCCCACCTGCCGCCTCCTCTTTGAGCGCTGGAGGAGCAACAAACCTCCCTCACCTCTTGCGTGTTGATCATCGCGTCGATCTCTCGGAGCGTCACGCCGAAGCGAAAGCATTTCCTCGCGACCCCGACGCCAGACTGCTCGCACCCTCACCATCAGTCTTCCCTCCCACGACGCTGGAGCCACAACCTTCACTTTCACCACTTTGGGCGCCCACGCTTCCAACGCTGCTCGAGTGCCGTCAGTCTGCCATGCGCGCGTCACCAGCCTCCTCTCAGCCCACCTGCCTTGCCCGAGTTTGACAGCAGCCACTTCACCACATCGCTGCATCCCGGTCAAGTCTCTCGCATGAGCCTGTCACTCACGAACCTCCCGTAGGCTACTGCTCGGCAGAGCTTGTCCCTGCAAGGCGCCAGCCCTCAGCCGTCGCGATCTCAGCATGGCACCCGCCACCCACCTCGCTTCTGTCTTGGACATGTACGCCACCATCTTGGCGTTGAGTTGGACCAGGTCACTGTCGAGAGGCATGGCAGGCAAACTTGTGCTCCGCTTATCCCTGAATCATCTTCAGATCAATCAATTCATCTCCGTACATCTATCATCGTCAACAGTTTCCATTCGTTCAACAGTCAACAGTTTCCATTCCAGTTTCCATTTCCATTCGCTCAAACTCATTGAGGTTGAATCAGGATGTTCGATTTGTGAGCCAGATCACGCTACAACAACGATCTGCCCTTCAAGCTCCGTGCTGCTTCTTTCATAAAAATCATAATAACAATCGCATCCTCTAAGACATTCTCTCTCTCTCCCTCCCTCTCTCCCTCTCTATCCATCCCTCTGCTTCTCTCCTCCTCCACCCCTCATCTCTCCTCCTCCTCTACTTCCATGCCCTCGCCATCCCTGCCTTCCATGACCCCCGGCCTCCCACAACCCCCACCCCCACGAATTCCTCTCCAGTACCCCACTCTTTGACTCTATTTTTTACTACCCCTACCCTTACCAGGTACTTTTTTGCAAGGACGGAGGGGATGGGGGTCTCTTATTCCAATTGCAGTTGACGTGATTCAAATTGATTTCGTGCGGCAAAAACACGCCAATCCATCAAGTTGGGATAAGGCTTCTTCCTGACTGGAGGCCCTCATCCCCACTCGTTCAAATTTGGTTTCCGAAGAGCGCGGGAACATGTCGAATGGCAGTTTGCCCGTACGATGGGCCTCCCCCCGCCCCTCCCCCGCCCGCTCCCGCTCCTCCTCCTCTTCACAGCCATCCTGCTCTAGACCTGAGAACTGACCCTCTTGTTCCTGAGCTGTCCTCCTGGGCTCTCCCCTAGGCTCTGAAGGACGGTAAGATGCAATCGCTGCTTTCGCCAACCAAGGTGTGTTGGAGAGTGAGTTGCGAGCCGAGGACTGACTGTGTTGCAAGGAAAAGCAGAGGAAGCAGATCGAGAAGGGGAAGAAGATTCTTGAGCGGTACAGGAACCGAAAGTCAGCCAATGCCAACATTGTACCTTACCACGACAAGGAGAATATTCCGAATCAATGCAGCACAGTGACCAACTCGCCCAGGATTGATCGACCCCAGCAGACCAACAACAAGCAACCTCTGGGGCTTGTCTGGCAAGTGAACAGAGTAGACAGTGAGGCTCTGTCCGACAAGAACAACAGCAAGGCAGCGAATCCGGCTCCACGTGACCCCGTGCTGCTGTTGGAGAAAATTACTAACCTCGAGCAGAATTGCGATTCCCTGCAGAGATGCATTGAAAGCATTCTGGCAGCACAGATCCATCGCAGTCAGACGAACGCTCTAGATCAAGTAGAGAGAGATAAGCTGCTACAGCGTATCCAGGAGGCAACGGAACAGAACCGTTTGTTGGAGGCAAGGTGCAAGAACCTAGAGGATAATGAGGGGTCGAAGTCACAGCAACTCGTCGAGTTTGAAGCACAGCTGAAGATTGAGCGAAATCGAGCCGCAGCTCTGGAAGAAGAGTTGAACTCGAACAGGATCTTAGACGAATCGTTGAAGGTGAGCAATGAAGAAATGGAATTCAAGGAAAACCAACTGAAAGACGAGCTACAATACATCAGCATTGAGTACGAGAAACTTCTGAAGTATTGTGAAGCCGTCACGTTCGAAAGAGATGATCTCTACAGAAAATTTCGGGACTACACTTTCGAAAAAGATCTTGAAATCAGAACGCTGCATGAGGACATGTTGGAGCTACAAGAAAACAAGCGCTCGCTACTAGAGAGGTGCTCCTTCCTCGAAGATCAAAACCTGGCTTTCGAACAACTGCGGGACGCTTGGACGCAAGAACAGGGGAAGATGGAGCTTGAACGATCCCATTTAGAGCTCGAAGCAAGAGAGGAGGTGCAACGATTAAGGGCGCTGTGCGATGAGTTGGAGGTGGAAAAAGAGAAGCTCGACCAGGAACACAGGGAAGCACAGAGAGCGAAGGAGCTGTTGCAAGCACAACTCCATCAGCGAGGCAGTGAGGCTCAGGAGTCAATGGTTGAGTTGAATGAGCACAAGGCAGATTTCGAGTTCCGATTGAAGGAACAAGATCAGATGCACAGAGAGATTTCAGGGCACCTTCAGCTACTTGCTAAGGTAATGAGTGATTCTTCCTGTTTGAAATTGACACGTTGGTAAGGAAAAGACACAATTACAACGAACAGTGATGGAGCAACAGCGAACTTTGATGGTTTACCAAAATTTGCTTGAAGATTGCCGAGCCAGAGCTTTGGATGTTCAAAGTCTCCTAACTGACGTTCCTGACATGAAGGACATCGCAAAAGATTTCAGAAACATGTCTATGATTGTACAGACTCTTCAGCAAGAGCTTATAACTCTAAGAGAAGAAAACGGTCAACTGTCTGAAAGGCAAGAAAATGTCAACGCTATCGCAAGTTCGACTGCAGACGCTGCGTCGCAGTGCCGTGCTGACAGTCAAGATCATGGCTCTAGAGACAGAGACCTTCTCCCTCCCTCAATGGTACAAGAATTTTCGGCAATGATGGAAGATATGAAGTCTCTCAGCCGCGAGTTGTCGAGATGGAAGGAGGAACAATGTCAAACTTATCCATCGCACGCAGCTGTCGAGTACCCGACCGACCAGGCTCTCGTGGCTGATCTCATCTCGCAACCCAAGTGTGAGTTACTTGACCTGCTCTCGGATATCCTCCATCTCCGAAGAGAGGTGTCCGCCTTCAATATGCTGCAGATTGACTGGGGCTACATCAAGAAGAATTGCTCGGAGGGCTCCAGCGGACTCGATGATGCTAGGAAGGAGATTTTGGCACTGAGAAATAGATTCAGCGATGAGAAACGAGCTGTGGGACCCCAGTTCTATCCCGTTGGCAAAGACTTGATCTTAGAGTTCTCGAACTGTGTCGAATCTGCGCAGGAGATCGTTGGAGCTCTGAGCCATGGAATTGACAAGACAGGAGGACACTATCAAGGCAGGCAAGGGGGCAATGAGAGTTCGACGGCAGATGCCGAGAGATCAATCGCTGTTGGTATGGCCGAGTGTGAAACAAGGTGCGATGAGATCTGCAACGTCATCGTCTCGCTGCGCAATCAGCTGGAAGTGCGATGGCCCGAGAACCACAACTTGCGCAAGAACTTTGAGACAGTCCTCCTGGAGAATTCAGAGTTGAGGTCCTTGTTGATGCAGGTTAAATTTGGATGTCCTTCAAGGTTCGGTCTTCTGACTCTTGTGCTAGTTGATCGTGCAATGTGAAAGAATGGTGAGGATTCAAAGTTTTGAAACGACAACCTTCCTCGACGACAGGAGATATCCGAGTGACACACCTTTAGACCCAAGTTTGGCAGATATGGGCAGTGGTAGAAGCAAGCTCGTAGAGCTGAAGGGCCTACTAGAGAGTTACTCGAGCGTGAACAACTCTCTGAGGTACAGGCTAGAAGCTCTGGACGATGCGGGCTCGGGAGAGAGGCGAGGAGGCGTGTCACAGTACCATTTGCAGAAAGAACAGGTGATTCAAGTTGTTCAATCGGTCTCAAAGAAGCTCGACGAGATATCATCGCAATACAACGAAAAAGAGCAACAGTTCTTTGTGATGTGAGGCCCTTGCGATGTTTTCGATCGTCGTCTGATTGCTTCCATTGCAGTTGTGAAGCTTGTAAGGAACTGATGGATATCAGCGTTCAGTATGCGAAGGAGAGCGCCGAAGCAGTGCGATGTCTTTCCCTCATGGAAGACAAAACTTGCCAACTTGAAGGGTGGTTGAATCACATTGACAAGAGGAATCAGGTCTAAAGAGCAGAGAGCTGCCTGTGTATGTTCTCAAGATGATTCGTGATGTTTTCCAGGCACTGCTGGATGACAGGATCAGATTGGAAGAGGTTCTGGAGGAGCAGACCAACATCATGCAGGCCCTGATGCGGGAGGTTGAGACGCTCCGCCCCCACGATGACGTCACTGCGCCAGACTGCAAGGCGTTGAACCGCATCGACGAGTCGCCGGACCGTCACGAAGCGAGTCAGTTGAGCGATCATCCCACCTGCGGGGAAAGCTTCGTGAATATGCAGCCCCGCCCGCAGGACGACCGTGACGAGCATCATGATCTGGAGGAAGGAACTTCGCAAATTTGGGGCGAACCATCCAGCAAGGGTGTCCCTTCCCTCGGGTCGGGCACCTTCAAGGTAGAACGATGGAAAGTCCAGCTGGGCAGCTCCTGCGAGACAGGCTTCCTACCCGTCACCTCCCATCATGCTGATGCCGAAGTGACGGTCTGCGGGAACGCTCACACTCATGTCAACATCATCCGCCAGCCCGACGAGACTTCGAGCATTGAGAAGACGATGTGGAGCAGCGAGCCGTCGGGGAGGAAGGTGCAGCAGTGGCTGGAGCGAGCTCATCAGATGCTAGAGGAGGAGGAGGAGGAGGAGGAGGAGGAGGAGAGCAGGGACGATGTTCATAGCACAAATACCCGCAGCGCCCCTGTAGACAACGGTCTTCCCTCCAACGGAGAGTCTCTCCTCATGTTCAAACGAGTCGCTGCGCTCTCCCGAGAGAGGGTCGAGCTGAACGAGGTTGTCCACCTCCTCTCCTGTGCCGCGAAGAAGTGCGTCGAAGATCCGTCGATAGGAAGCAGCTCCAGCTCCAGCTCCAGCTCCAGCTCCAGCTCCAGCTCCACCACCCAAGGCATCCACGAAGGAGCCAGGAGGAGGGAGCCGGAGTCGAGGCAGAGACGGCTCGGTCAGTTGCACTTCCTCTCTTCTTCCCTCTCTCTGCTCACTTTGGGGCTTCCAGGTGGCCAGGAAGAGCTTTCCGAGGACGCTTTCACCCGTATCCTCCTCACAGAGATGGAGTTCGAGCTACGGGGCGAAGAGGAGGACGAGGAAGGTGGGTAGTCGCCCGCCATGGAATGACGACACAGCATGCCCGACCCTCTTCGAGGTCCCTCCCTGCCTTGAGTGTTGGACGTGAGATGGGCATGCAGGAAGCTGTGCTCGACAAGGGTGGGGGTAACCAGGCTCCAGAGGTCAACAAGAGGAGGAGGGTCAGTTCTCTCCTCCCCGGGCTGCTCGCATGTCCATCCGTCCTTCTCACATCATCGAATTTCCCTCCTCTCATCTTCCCTCTTCTCCTCTTCCCTCCCTCCCTCTCACTCACTTTGTATTCTTCATCTTCTCTCCCCCCCTTTTCCAAATGCCGAGGCTCTCACGCGTTTTCCTCCTGCAGGAAGAATTTCAATCTCTATGGGACCGCGAAGAGCAGAAGCGAGCGTTGGCTGGGAGGTCACCGCTTCCTCCTCCTCCTCCTCCTCCTCCTCCTCCTCCTCCTCCTCCTCCTCCTCATCCTCATTTTCATCTTCATCATCATCATCATCATCATCATCCTCAGTTCGCCTCCTCTGACCTCGTGGGCAGCAGACATGGACGGATCTTTGACGCCAACAAGCAGCAGCATCATCGCACGTGGGAGGTGGCGGACCCAGTGATCCGCCGAGCCAACGCGCAGGTTGAGATCGACGCGAGCAGCTTGTTGCAGAGGTCACAAGACTCGCGTCCTTGCGTAGCTGACGAGACTCGCAGCCTCAACTCGACCTTTGAGACCATGAAAATGTGCCTCCTCCTCCCCCTCCGCCACCTCCGCCTCCTCCCCGGCCTCCTCGTCCTCCTCGTCCTTCTCCTCCTCATCGTCTGTCCTTCTCCTCCTTCATCCTCATCGAATATTTGACACCCTGTCCAGTCTCTCCTCCTGCTCTCCTCATGATCCTCGCTGCCGTCTCTGGCTTCAGCAGCCGGCTGATCGCCGACCGGCTCTTCCCGTACATCCTCGCCAGGTCCCACTGCTGGACCGCCCGCCGGCGCTTGGACGTCTCCCCGGAGGAGTAGTAGAGCCTGACGATGTCGGTCTTCTGCTGAGAGGTGAGGCGCTTCTTGCCGGTGCAGAGGGCGCTGTGCTGGATGCGGGCGTCGAGGGTCCACCGGGAGGAGGACTACGGCTGGTCTGATCCTGAGTCCTGAGGGGAGTTGCCACCGGGGGACGATGAGTCGTCGTTGATGGATGGAGATGAGCTCTGAAGAGAAGGTGCCCAAGAGGAGCCTGCCGGTAAGTCGCGGCACGACGAGCTGTTAGCTGCCATGCTGGCATCACTTGCTGCGTCTAGAAC